AGAAACTCAAAAGAGACCCATACGATTGGCATGGACATAATTGTGAATGCGTAGATAAACATAAATACAGGCATGGATTTTTGTCTAGAGTGTTATCACTGATCCTGTGATTTTTTTTTCCCCAATATATGCAATCCAAGGCTCATTGCTTGTCAGAAAACGTAGATCCCTCTTTTCTCTGTGGTGTGGTGTGCCTTTCCAGGAGTCCCTTTACAGTTAGGGGTATGTCATAGAAGATGTATTTTACAGAGAAAAACGTAAGGCTCATAGAAATGAAGCAGGTTTCTCATGGTCACAGAGTCGTATACAGCAGAGTCTGTGGATCGCCTGCCTCTCTCAAGACTCTCTTTCTGTCCCAGACCGAGCTGCACTTCTAAAGGGTCAGAGCTTGAGTCCAGTTGCCCACAGGACTCATGAAACTAGGGAGGGTGAGAATCCCGAGAGCCAATCAGTATTTCAGAGATGCCACAATCACATGTGCTTTTCTGAAAATACATGCTTGTTTCGGACTCACCTCCTGGAGATTCTGATTTAGTAAACAAGAAATGAGGTCTGAGCCTCTGTGTTTTTAAAATACTCCGCAGGAGATTCACTCGCAGAGCCACAGCGCATCGATATTGGGCTATCCACATTCACTGGACGGCACGGAGAAGGGCGCAGCCACGGTGCTAGTCCACCTTGGAAGCCTCTTGTTTGGAGCACTGAGCACTCAGCCAATGCTAATCTGTCCTGGAAGCCTGCACTGAGAGTGTCCTGAGAGGCGTGGGGAGGATAGGTCGACTCAGGGGTGGGCTGTCAACAGGTGACAGGATACAGCCACAAAGACTGAAATTTAAGCCTCAGCTGCTGATCTGCAGAATAACTGGGGCTGAGGAAGATTTAGAGCTGGAATTCTAAAAAATAAATTTAGGATTAAGATAGAGAATTAGGATGCTAAACATTTCTTTCTCTCAAGCGGGAACTTTGTATGGAAAAAGTGCTACCCTCAGCCAGTTTTGATGAGTGGTTTCAGAAGTCCTAGTCATCAAGAAAGTGGCTTTTGGAGGACATAGGTATGGAAAGAGCAGGCTGACCTATTAAGGGACATTATTGAGGACTGATCTGAAAGACTGTTGAACAGAATGGGGCCTTAGGGACTTTTTTTCCCCAGAATATACAATTTTTACTAAATTATAATTTGATGCTTGTGAGGGTACTTGGAATTTGCAAGTGTGATGCCAGCCTCTTGCTACCCAGTGGATATTTTTCTCCAAGATTTGAGTGGGAGTTTCAGGTACAAATTATATACGAGGTAAACTGGACCCTTAATGCTACAAGCAGCCTGCACAGGCTGAGCTCGGCTGTTCAATGGGTCTTGCTAAAGCTTGGCAGAGAACTAGAGCTGTAGAGGAATATTGGTTATGAAAGAGGCAGCCATTTCATTAGTAGAAATACAGTCAGAGAAACCTACAGCATCTGGATACAATTACAGTGGACCCAAGAGAGGCAATAGAGCATAGGGAGGTCAGTCCCTAGGCTTATAAGCAGGTTACTAGAGCGTAATTTACTTCTGAACTAGACTACAGTACTGGAAAATAGTTTGCAATCTTATAAATTTGGCAGCTTCTCTCTTTGGTGGGATGTTCAGCCTGCCAACTTACTCCATGAGAAACTAATGGCTGCAGTAACTGGAACGAGCTATAGCCAAAGAGTTGGGAACTTAAACGACTTTAAGACTTGGATCAGTTTATCCAACTGCCTAATACTGACTGTGGGACTAGGAAAATGTTTTGATTTCTCCCCCTGTAATTGTAGTTGATTTCATTTTAGAACTTGGTATGATATTTATATTTGGTCTGTGGGAGATGGGCAGAATCATAAACAGCCAGGTTATGGAACATTAAAAGCAGTCATGGAATGGGGTGGAAAATTAAGCAGGACTCCAGCAATAGGCACTAAGAGAAAGCTGAGAGCTGGGGGGAGTGTCATGAGGTAAGTGGGGTCTCAGAGGAGATGTTCAGAAGTACATTGGAGATAGGTAACGGCCATCCCACGGCTCTCAGAGCAGGTATGTGGTCTTGTTACAAATTTTAGAAGTCCAGTTTCCATCCTTCAGTTGAATGGGAATGTCAAGTGGATGACTTCAATCCAGAAATGACCCAAGGTGACAGTATAAAAATTCATTTATACAAATTAAAGCTTAAATACTAGAACTGTTTAGTAAAGATAAAAGTCCTCACTAAATAATTTAAATTTTAATTTTATAGAATAAAATTTCTCAAAATTTGGCATTTAAGATATTTTATGTACTGTATAAATATAAGAATCAATGATTTTTTATACTAGGAAAAGGTTCTAAGATACTGTATTTTAGTCCAGTTGTATTTTAATAGATAAACTAAAAATTTATCAAAAGATAAATTTTAATTAAAGAAATTAATTAAATTAAAGAAAAACTCAATTTACCAAGGAAAAATCATAAGAGAAAAATAACTTCACCATGGTTTCTTTCACATTATTGGGAACTGTTATACTGATAATCAAACATCAAAAAAATCCAAAACTTTTGAAACCTTTTTCTAAGGATGCAAATCCCTGGTCACTTCTCCCAAGTGGTACCAATGAGTGCTCTTCAGAGATCAGGAGTTCTCGCCTGCTGGGTTCTAGTAGACAGAGAAAGCAGACCAAGTTTTCTTAAAATTTGCCAATTCCACTAGTTTAATCAATGGATTTCTATCATTTGCCTACCCAATTTTTTTCTGGGATCTTGTATGTGATGAATTGGAATGAATATCTCCACAATTACACTAAAATTTTGGTGTGATTTTTTAGTATATTTTGGCTTTCTGAGACAAACTAAACACACTTTTAAAATAAATGAATTTTGACTAAACCTAAAACAGAATTTGAAATTGGTACTATAAAGTTCTGAAAGAATGTAATGTGCAAAAGCATTTTCAATTTATCCCATATTATCCAAGTGTAATTTGGCCCTTATTAGTGTCTCCAAGAGAGACAATTGGATGAATAAAGACCTAAGCTCATGCAAATCAAAATTCAAAACCAAACTAAATTAATGCCATTGTAATTTAGGTATAGATATCTGTAAAACATTGCAGGAAACACCATGAAGTATTAGTAAGTAAAAAAAATATTTACATAGGACAGACTTTATAATACACCTTTTAAAGGATCTTCCTATAGTTCAAGGCAGAGTCGTTAAGATTTTTGAATAAAGTGTTTGTTTTGTTTTGCATTTCCATTCTCCTTTCTGTGAGTGAGTAGTATATGTATAAATAATAAATTGATGTAACGTGGAAAATGTTATTATTATGTACATATGTGTACGTTTTCTTTGCTGTAGGATGTGGAGAGTAAAGAAAGCTGCATGAAGCAGAAGACAGGGAAAGAGATTACCTTGAATAATGAGCCTAGAACCTACTGATAAAGACTTTTTCTTCTTTCTCTACATTGTGTTTTAATCAAGTTATTCTTTTATCAAATTGGAAAGTAAGATATGTCTTAATTCCATTGTGGATGGGAATCTAGACTGGCAAGACACTGTATTTGCCTGAATCTTGGGAAATGTAATAGCAGATTAGAGAAAGCTATCTGATGTAGAGAGAGTCTCTCATGCAATAATGACAAATCAAAATATTGCTTTAGTAAAAATAGAGATGATATGGAAATGGAGAGCTGTGATATAGAACATGGCCAGATTCTGGAAAATGCAATGAGCAGGAAAAACTGAGAACACACTACTGGACAATTGGGGCAGAACAGGCGTATGTCCAGCGAGTTAAGGCCGACTTCCACAGTTAGTTTTTATCTAAGTCTCTCAACCTACTTTAAAAAATACTTACTTTACTCTTAATCTGGAACATAAATTCAGTCTAAGGTTGCCAGATACATCAAATACAAATACAGATGTCAGAATAGTAAATAGGACATACTTAGACTAAAAAATAATTTTTATGTGAAATTCAAATTAACTTGGTGTCCAATAGTTGATCTAACAACCCTAATACAATCAGATCTTATTTTAAAGAAATTTATGTATCAATTATCAAATATGCCTACTGTGATGTTCCTGTCGTTAAAAAAAAAAGGTTTATTTTTTCTTCCTCACTTAGATAAGGAGTTTGACTTAGACAAAAGAAGATAAAGTTGTTCCAAGTGAATTCTTCTAGAACTTTAGATTGTGGAGGGGAGTGGAGAATCATGAAGGACGAGAATGAAATGAGGGCATCTTTACTATCCTCTAGACCAGCGATTTAACCAAACAAATGGGGCCTGAGGTGCTTACTGATAGGCTTAATTAGTTAGATCCCCAGATAATTTGTTACTTCTTGTTGTTCATGCAATTAGCAGATGGATTGAAGAGGAGAAACTCTAGCCCTAAACAAAGTCATAACATTTATATAGGTTAAGACCTTTCACATGCCCCTGGTGATTTTTTGACAAAGGTTGTCTTTAGTGGCCATCTGCTTTCATTCTCAGTGATGACCTGTGACTGCATCAGTTCAAATGCCACCTACTGGATCAATTTATATAAAGCTTATCCTACCTCTGTGTATTCATAAAACGAGAGATAATTCTTGTCACATAAGTGCAAAAGACGACACTAGAAAATTAATAAATGTGATGTCGTGGGAGGACCCAGTATATATTCATTTTCTGATCTTGAACAAGAATTAGATCCCATGAATTTTAAAAATAGTTTATCATTTCTTTGTTAAAGGGAGATAGACTCTCAAAAATTCTTGAAAACCTGAAATTTCCAGAAGCTAGGAAAGAAACTTTTATTTCTGCTAGCAGAAACTTGCTTTCCCGCAATAGGAGCAGTGCGGGGGATGGATGAGAATAAAACCTGGATTGCATCAGAGGGAGAAGTCCACCAGCAAGACAGACCCTGGGCTGCACTGTAAGATTCAGAGGTAGTTTGGATTTCTTTATGGTGTAGAACAACTTATAAATCCATTGTAAATAAGTTCATAAGAAATCATATTCAGAAGCGCCGCCGCGGTCTGAGGAATGTCAACTATTCAACATGGAGGCGGAGGTCGATAAGCTGGAACTGATGTTCCAGAAAGCTGACTCTGATCTGGATTACATTCAATACAGGCTGGAATATGAAATCAAGACTAATCATCCTGATTCAGCAGGCGAGAAAAATCCAGTTACACTCTTAAAGGAATTGTCAGCAATAAAGTCTCGATACCAAACTTTGCAGGCACGCTTTAAACCAGTTGCTGTTGAGCAGAAAAAGACTAAAAGCCGTATTTGTGCTACTTTCAATAAGACTATGACC